GGGGCCGTGTATGAATAAATTGTGTTACTTGCTTTTGAAAAATTGTTGCTGGGGTAACTGCCAATACTACTCAATGCAATAATTGCGACTATTAATAATTTTGTGAACAGTAGTAGCTTGTAAGTGAGTAATTGTGTTTTAGTGAAATTTCAAACTTGGGAAACATTTGATTGCCGAGGTAAGTTGTTCCTATTTTAACTTCTCAAAGTAATTTTTTTTTATTAAAGGGATTTATTATGGGAAGTTTTATTGAGTTCACTAAGTAATAAATACGTTTATTTTGTATTTACAGTAAGATTTACGAGAAAAAAACCAAAATTCACAAACGGCGGGTATATAAGGAACACAATTATTTCTTCCGAATTGTTAAAGTGTGTTGTTAAAACGTAAGTTTTTCGTAATTTCGTTTGTTTTTTATCACCTAATTTGGTTTTTAGTGTTCAAAGATGGTTCGAAATTGTAAAAAAGTGTTGGTACCGACAAGTCACAAAAAACGACCAGTTATCATCATCGACCTCAACTGATGATACCAGCAACGTTTAGTTTTGTTTTTACATTTGTTTTATATTCTGTGTTTACTTTCGATCAATAAAAAATAATTTCTTTAACTTTAAATACGTTTTCCAATAGTTTTACCGCCTTGTTCCTTATAGCCCCATTTTGTAATTTCGAAAAAATGCGTCTTTTTCGTATTTTTTGCTTAAAATTCCAGCTTTGATCAAAACAATACTTTAACCCTTCAAAGTGCTCGCCAAGATCAAGAAAAGAAAAAAAAATTAAGGCAATATTTCAATAAACAAAAAAGTTGCAAGACTTTAAAGCTGAAATCTGTTCCTTGTAGCCCCAGATTACGGTACTAAAAATAAAAGTCGTAAAATTAATATAATGACAGAAGATGTGTGTGATGCTTTGGATGAGGCGAAAGTTTCAAATAGAAATGCTGCCTACATTCGTTATTAACAATTCATTGGGATGGAAAATTATTTAGTTGTTTTCCTACTTTGTAACCGAAAAATTAAGAAATTCTTGTATTTTAAGAACTGTAATGGCTGTAAAGAATTTATTTTTTATACATAATAATTTTTAGTAAATTTAGCAATAAATTTAAAGTGATATGTCGCAAGAAATTATTTTTATTACTCAACATTATACGTCTAAAACACGAAAATCATTAAAAAACGTATTTTTAAGCTAAATCAGCTCGTCGCGACCTCTAAATCGTTTTTAAAATATCTCGTAAGATAGGTGGCATCTTTTTTCATAAAAAGGAAAAAAATTTTTGGGTAGGGTTAAAAATTAAAAAAAAAAATTTTATGGGCACCCTAATGTATGTATCTATGTATGATTGTATGCATGTATTATATGTAAATGTATAGGCAGATATATAGGGTGTTGTGGGGTGACGTGCAACGTTTTTTTCGATGGACGAAAAACATGTCAAATAATTAAATTTTTAAATATTTCAAAATTGAATGACTTAAAGGCATTATAATAGAATATTTCTGCATTATTAGATTTTCAGAATTTTGAATTTTTACTACAAATTTTTCGCTTTTTCAAAAACGTCTGCTTTTACATTTTCCAAAAAAGTTGGGGTGATGTGTAACACCAGTAAAATTAAGGTATGTAATGCATAAATATCGATGAAAATCTCTTTAATTATTAATTTTAGGCTTTTTCAATGCAAACTAATCGAAATCTGCCAAAAAAATTTACAAAGGTATAGTTGACCTCTAAAAAGTGGAGATTTCACCAAAGAAAAAAAGATTTTTTTGTTTAATTTTTTATTTATTCATAACTGAATAAGGAATATAATTAAAGAAAAATAACTCAGAATTATTTATTCAACATGTAAATCGCAGTTATGTCACGTAAAGTATAAAAAAGGAAAAAGTGTTGCACATCACCCCAAACATGTAATTTTGCGAAAAATAATTTGTACGCAATACAATGCAATGGAAACACAAAATATAAAAAGATATTCAAAAACACTTAAAAAACAAACAATAAACACATTCTTATCTAGAAAATAAATTAAAACCCTTCCCGAAACGACTGGAAATGTAAAGCGCGAGAAATATTTTCTGCTCGAGAAATTTAAGTCAACTTACGTACTGAAAACTTAGTTGCAAGCTGTCTCGTGAGTTATATATCAAAAACAAGTTACTGAGGACACAAACAAATGGCAATACTTGGCTCTGTTCAATATCGAACTGTAGATTAGAAATCGGCGGTGTTGCATATTCCCCCATGTTTCCCATCACCCCACAACACCCTACACAATCTCTACATTTGAATCAGTTAAAAATAACCAAAATAGCAAGTAGCCTTGTAGTTAACCCTATGATAAGCTTACCGTGTAAGGTTTAATTTAAAATTTATTTGCAGCAGATTCTATGGCAACTTTTAATAAAAATTATATTTAAACCACAAGTAAATAATTTTCATATTGAACAAGTAGTATGGAAAAATAGGGAATAAAGCTTTTCTTCAAAATTTTGAAGTTAAATCCTTCTGAACATTACATTTCCTATATCTCCAACATGATTTTTATAAAGCACAAAACTGAAAGCAATAAATAGATTCTGCAAAAAATAAATTTAAAAATAAATTTAAATGAGTAGTGTAAATTCGTTCAGGAAATAAGTATACAAAAAAGATGCGTGGGTTTGGATATTTTAAGTAAGTATGTTAATTATTTTAATTTTAAATTCGATTTTTTTATTAATAATACTCTTATAACTGAAAATTAAACGATTTAAAACTGTTTAAGCACTAAACTGTCAAATTTAACCTTATTTTTATGGTTATGAGTACGTTTAATTGAATTATTGTACTTAATTACTTATTGATAAAACAATATTAACTATTTATTCCAATAACTTTGGACATTGTTCCTAATTTACCTACAATCATTATAATAAATATGTTTTAGATTTCTTTGTATTCTTATATGTGACCTGGTCTATGAAAAGGGACCTTACGTGTCAAAAAATCATTTTGTACTTTTTGGTTGATTCGGATAGAGTTTGAACGAAGACGATAATTTTTATTATTTAGAAAATTTGACAGTTTCTTTAACAACTGTCAACAGTTAAAATTCAAATTCGATGTCATATTCTTAATCAACGACCTCAAAAACCTTATTACTGTCTTTTTATAAAAAATGATCACTTTTTAGAGAAGTTGACAGCTGTCAACTGTCAAATTGTCAATTTAACATCATATTCGTAATCAGTGGCCTCAAAAACCCTTACAAACATGTGTCACTTATTTATACTTATTGTTGCTATTTAGAAAACTTAGATTATTTTTTCTATGTTTGGGGAGTCCTTTTTAACTATCTAGGTCACATATTATAATACTTTAAATTTTCATTTTTAATATTTAAACAAAATTATTTATACAATAACAATAAAATATATTTATATAAATATAAAAAAATTAATTAATTATAAAGAAAAAGTAAATTAACTATTTAAATTTTTATTTTTAAACTTCTTTTTATTTTTAAATTAAATATTCTAAACGAAATCACTCTCAGCACTAAAAGTATTTTTTAAAGAAAGCTATAGTTTATACAAAATTAACAAAAAAAAATAATCAAACAACTCTACCGTGTGTTTCCTTATGTATTTTTTAGTAATGATTTAAAAAATACATCTTTCCACAAATAATTGTTCTATTTATTATTGTTTATTTATTATAAACCTCTTGAAATATTTTTGATAATGTAATAATTCTGTTAATCGTTTGATCAATTAGTGTGAAATCGTATTTCCGTTAAGTGACACAAGTAATAGTGTTTACAATGAGTAAAAGAAAACAAACTAGTATCGACCTTAAAACAAAATTATTAATTTTGGACGAAGTACATAATAAAAATTTGACAAAATCACAAATTGCGATTAAATTTGTCATTCCAAAGTCTACGCTTTCTACAATTATTAAAAATGAAATTAAGATAAATGTAGCAGCAGCATCTGGTTCTTTTCAAAATAAAGCGAAACGAATGCGTAGTGCCAATTACGAAGACGTCGAACATTTGTTGTTAGAATGGTTTAATCATATGAGGTCTGAAAATGTACCGTTAAGTGGACTATTAATTAAAGAAAAAGCAAGTGCAATTGCATCTGATATTGGAATAGAAAATTTTGAGTGCTCCAGTGATTGGCTGTAGAGATTTAAAAAACGGCATAACATATCTTCTTTAGCAGTTTGTGGAGAAGCTAATAAAGTGGATGAAGATAATGCGAATGAGTGGATTAGCAATTTTGAACGTATTCGCAGTAAGTACGTAGCACGGGATATTTTTAACATGGACGAGGCGGGAATTTTTTATAATCTTTTACCAAACCACACTCTAGGCATAAAGAGGGAAAAGTGTCATGGAGGAACTCGAAGCAAGCAGAGATTGACAGTTGTTTTAATATGTAATTCTGATGGGAGTGAAAAGTTTCGACCATGGGTTATAGGAAAATCCAAAAATCCGCGTTGCTTAAAAAATATGAACAGAGACAAACTGTTATGCGATTATACGCATCATAATAAAGCGTGGATTGATACTAGTGCATTTCGACAATTGTTGCTAAAATTTAATCGACGTATGATAGCAGAAAATCGTCATATAGTATAATGATAATATTCCCTTCCGAAATTTTTTATATTGAAAGAAAGTAGGAAATTTGATCCGTGGAAGGTAAAAGTATAGACATATTGGTTTTATGTCATATTTTTATTGATGTCAAATAATTAAAAAGATAGCGACGTTTCGATTACTTGGTTTGTCATCATCATCTGGCTAGGCCACATCACAAAAAAACGTTACATATTAAATTCGTGCAGTAATAACTCAACGTGCCAGTTATTACTGCACGAATTTAATATGTAACGTTTTTTTGTGATGTGGCCTAGCCTGATGATGATGACAAACCAAGTCATCGAAACGTCGCTATCTTTTTAATTATTTGACATCAATAAAAATATGACATAAAACCAATATGTCTATACTTTTACCTTCCACGGATCGAATTTCCTACTTACTTTCAATAGAAAATCGTCATGTTTTGTTGACACTCGATAATTGTTCATCGCACAGCCTAGGAGAACTTACTCTCTCAAATGTAAATGTTCAGTTCTTTCCCGCTAATACAACCAGCCGACTACAGCCTTTAGATCAAGGTATAATTGCGCTAATGAAAAAATATTATAGAACACGTTTAGTACGAACTCTGATTCAAGCAATAGAAGAAGGCGCGAAAGCTCCTACTTGGAACGTTTTAAATGCAATTGAAGCTATCAAGTTATCATGGGATTCAGTTTCTGCTGAAGCGATAGCAAATTGTTTTAAAAAAGCTTGGAAACGTTCAAACATTACAAACAATGAAGAAGTTGTAAGCAATGATCCTGAGGAATGGCAGCATCTGCTGTCAATTAACGGGGTAAGAAAGAGTTAACTACCAGCGGCTTCCCAGAGGATCGAGAGCTAAAAGACGGAACAGAATTTTCAGATGAAGACGACGAGGAAGTTATACCAGAGCCACCAAGTCGATACGATGTCAGAGCAGCTGTAATTGTTATAGAAAAATACGCAGCTACCACAAACGTTTCCACTTTATTTTTAGAAAGTTTAGAAAAGATATGTTTTGAGTGTAGAGATAATTTAAAACCTTTAAATACACAAAAAACATAACAGATTATTTCAAGTCTAAATAAGTAAATACAATAAATAAAGAATTATGGTATTTTATGTCATTTATAATGAATGCCTCGATAACACGAATTATTTTAACACGAACTGCAAAATTTTCGGTCCCTTCAAGTTCGTGTTAAAGAGGGTTTACTGTATATGGTTTTTTTTATTGAACTTACTTTATTTCATACTCAAGAGTAAGAATTCAAGTTGCGCAAAATTAATTGTTGAAAATATTAAAGTTTTTTTTCTTTAAAGAAGATTGCCTTTGTTACTCCAATTGATCAGTTTATTTGTTTCGTAATTTTTTTTTATTAAATATACACACTAATATAATTCATAATAAAATGACACTGTTTAAAAGAATAATAATTTCCATATTTTAATACTAAATATATTCAGTTTTTAATTAAAATAAAAATCTATAGTTGATGGTTATTTAGGTTAATATTTTTAAATCAATACAGGCAAATACTAAAAACAAAAGAAAAACTCGCACATTTCAAGGAAAAAGCTTCGGAGATAAAAGCTTCGCAAATGAAAAATAATTTTTTTCACATTTATTCACATTAGGGCACAATTGAAATATATTTTTTAGTAAAATTTACAAATTTCACAACGTAATTTTATATTATCATCAAAAATATTTCGTCAAAGTTACTCGTATACTCAATTATTTAATAAAAAGCAAAGCTTCGGAGATGAAATTAAATTTTGACTCGGGCCAATAAGTAAAATTTGATTATTCATAAAAGCAATAATTCCCCTCCTTTTCACAAATAATATATGGGCAAATTAAACGTCAGACACTCAACTTTATTTTAGTGTGTATTAAAATTTTGTTTAGAATAGTTTTAATGTATAAAAATATAATTAATCATCGTGAGGTAATTTTAACCTAAAACTGAAGACAAAGTTTTAACATTTTTATCATATATAAAACGGAGGTCTAAAAATTTTTAAAAAGCACATTATGATAGAAAAAACATTGTACTTTCTGACACTATTTTTTAAAAAATTCTAAGAGTTTGAAAAAAGCATAAAAATTTAGTTTTCTTATAGAAAACCTATTGGAGACATGCTAAAAAGGCTTCGGAGATGAAATTATTTTAGCCATTGCATAAATTCAGTAGAATAAAATTGTTTAATTTTTTATTTTTAATGATAAGTAAGTGGTAAATTTTTATTATGAAAATGATTAACAATTATTAGCGAGTAGATTTTATAAAATTAGTTAAGAAATAAAAAATATCACAAAGTGTCACTTTCGGAAGAATCAGCCATGTTTTTTGTTTTAATATAATTTTAAGCTACTTCAACAACAGAAATTTTTTTTGTTTGTGTGGTTAAGTATGAGAATTAGTGAGGTTAGGAACATTTGTTTACAAACTGTACTGCTGAGGTAAATATCTTTCAATATTTTCAAACTATGAATATTTTTGTAGAAAAAAGGATATTATAATTATAATATAATTTTTTGATTGAATTTTTTATTTTAAAAGTATATTGATTTAATTAATTTAAGTTATTTAATTTAATAAGTTAAATTCACTCCAAATTTAAATATTCGCTCACTACTTCGATTCAGCTAATCAGAGAAGTGCATAATTTCGACTTTTTTATCAATTGATTACTAGAAGTTGGAATTATTAAATTAAATAAAAACACACCGAATATAGAGTATTTTTAATAAACTTTAAGGATTTCTTATCACTATCTTATTTTTTTCTTTAAATATAGGTACAAGAAATATTAAGATGCAAGTACGCGATTCATGAATTGCTGCATACTTCGCAACATAATATCTCCGTTAAAGAAAAATAAAAAAATTTGTCACTTTCACAACTTTTAACTCACACCGAATTGTACATATACCAAATTTTTGTTTCGGTCCCGCATTTAATCCTAAAATATTTAAGAAATTTTTTATTCTTATTTACATATTTTTTAACTAGCTGTTGTACCCGTCTTAGACGAGTTTTAGTTTCTACTCATATATTTGAAGAAGTGTCTACTAATCGGGAATTTAATTTGACTGGAGAAAACTAATAATTAGTTACCGTCAACTATTTCATTTTGAAAATATTACTATTTGAATCAGTAAATGACTTTTTCCATCAAATACTATTTTTAATTAATTCCGATTCACAAAACAGTGTATTTGTCAATTTGTAGTACTCTATGGGTTTGTAGTATTTCAATTAATGTATTAAAAATTAATCCTAAATTTTCATCAGCTTTTGGAGTTATGTAAAGTCTACTTCGAACTAATTGTAATTGTATCGCAAGTATACCCTACGTTACGACTGCTAAAATCTACACTAAGATCTAATAGAAGACCTATATATATAGTCTGAAAGTAGGGTTTGAATTTTGACAAATAAAAAAATTACATCAATAAAACTTAAAGCAAAAAGCAATTTTTTTAAGACGAATTAATATAACATTTATTTAACAGCACTGGATTTCACGTCGCCACCTACAAGGTCTGAGTAGACCTTTCCACCTGCATCACCTTCACCTCCGTCATCTCCACTTGCATCACCTTCTTCGGATATGTATTCTACCCCTATGTCGTCACTATCACTATTGTACTGTGTACAAATTTATCATCGACAGTAGAATTTTCATATAAAGTATATCGTAAGATTGTATTTTTTAGCAAACCCAATACTGGGTCAAACCACATTAATTCAAACTAAGATTTAAAAAAAAATTTAATGCCAATTTAATAAAGAAATTGTATCTTATATGCTTTCCCAACCAAGCAATTTAATGAAATTTATACATAACATAACCTTAGACTTTTATGTTTATATTCCCGAAAAAAATTTGTCTTGAAAAATAAATTTAATATATAAACTAGAAGAAATTTATTCATTAACTTTTATTTACTACAAAAAAATAATCTTATTTCCATTCTCACGTAGTTAATTGATATTGCGATAAGAGAAGCAACAATTTCGAATAAAATATAGAAAATTAATGCTATTAATTGGCCTTACGCACTTCGACAAGAGTCTCCGAGAAATACTTTTTTTTTGGATTAAGCATAACCATTCTACATAAATTTTCTATATATTAACCTAATTTGCGTCTACAGCCGACTTTTATTAGGAGTACTCGCATTGCGCCTGGACCACCCGTCAATGGGTTTTCTCGCCAGAGAAGAGGGAAACTGTAGAAAACCTCTCCTGAGTACAACCGGTTTATCGACAGTCGAGTTCTAATGGTGTATACCGGACAATAATCGACGGTGCACATCATTATACCTCGACGTCAAACCTCCCGCTCAGATTGTCTCACGTGCCGGAAAAATACCAAGCCAAATGGGGCGAACCAAGGGTACTTACCCTTGGTCCTTAAACGACCGCCAAGCGAGGCATCTATCCGACTGAGCTAATCTGTCGGTTACAAATTTTGTTTATTTAAACTTATATGCGGTTTCTGGGGTTTTATAACTACTGTTGGAGTTGGGCATGTGTAGAAAATAAACGCAAGGATGAACGGACAAAATTATAGATACATTGTAGAGCACCATTTTCTCCCTAATGTAAGAAGACTTCTGACTGCAAACGAATTCGAGGAAATAAAAATCATCGAAGACCGTAGTCCTATCCATAGAGCTAACATCATTGAGCAGTGACATGAGCATCATATAGAAATAACACGATTACCACCACCTCCAAAATCGCCTGACCTAAATGGAATTGAAAACATGTGAGCACTCATTATTAGAACATGGTGTTTAGGAGAAGATAACGAGAGAATACAGCTCGTGTTAAACTGTATCCATACTGTATCTACTTAATGCCAAGACGATTGAGAAAATGCAAAGGGAAATTGGACAGAATACTAGTCATTTAAAGTTTATTAATGCATCTCTTTTTTCTCTTTTCCAGAATTGGAGAGGTGGAAACAGCTGTAACATAGTAAACATTCGTTACATTCAAAAAAATCTATATGTATATATGTATTTTCCGCTGTTTTTAAATAAATTAGAAAAGTGACTTTATTCAAAGTTCAAATAAGTAGAGAGTGTAAAATGAAATTGTTTTTTTTTTCGATTTTATTAACGACTTTCTTAATTTTAAAGATTTATATAGGTTTAAAAATTGATAATTGCAAGTGTGATTGTGACTATTCGAGATAATTTTAAAAAATGTCTAAATAAAAACTAGATCAGAATAAAATGATCGTCTACCTTCGTGGCAATAGGAAGAACTGCCTTATGCAAAAATTGGATTATAATAAAATATTCGTCTACATACGCTACAATGTGAAAAACAAATGTCTATAGCGAAAACGGGATCATTATGAAATATTCTTTTCTACATTCGTAATAATGAGAAAAACAAATACTTAACGCAAAAACAAAATCAGTCTAAAATACTTGACTATATTTGTAAATATATATTGACTATATTTTTTGTATTATTTATTTAAATGCGTAACGTGAGAACGCGATCAGAATAAAATGTGTATTTACATTTGTGACAATCCGATAAACATATGCCTAACGCGAAAACGAGGTTAGAATGAAATGTTCGTTTACATTCGTGGCAATAGAAGAACAATTGTCTAATGCAGAAACTAACTTTGGATTCGTAATCAGTAACTCCGAAAACCCACAAAATTTTGAATTTTGAAAAAGGGAAATTGAATTCGTAATCAGCGACCCCGAAGACCTTTATATACGAGAAATGACAAGAATTGAGGCGTTCAGTCAAATAACTCGATCTTCGCTCGGCTGAAATTTGTGAA